AGCAAAAATCTAAGAAATAGGAGTTTTAGCTAGTAGTTCTCCTTCAAAATCAAAGAAAAAAGATAGGCGCTGCCCACAGCAATTCCCCTCACCTTTCTTGGCACTTATTTTCAGATAGGATGACTCTCTCTTGGAGAGGCTTCTCTCTTTTCACTGATTACAGAGGGAGCTGGGAGGACTGATACTTGGCGTAATTTTTAGAAGGCTAACCCTAGATGAAATTACTCCAGTGTTGGCACTATGAGATCCTTCTGAACTGCTAGAACTTAGTCACAGATTTAAGAAGGTGCTAACAGGTCTTGATCATTCTGATCCGCACCAACTACTGCAGCTATCATTCCCAAGTTATGTGGCATGGTCACAACTGCGTGCCATCTTCCATCTTACAGACATGGGAAGCATCTGTCCACAGATGTGACTGCTCTGAGGAAGTCTGTAAGCTTTGTGGTCTCATTATCCTGCACTTCTTCTAGATCAGTGCTGGATGGGTTGAACTGCACAGGTCTTGGTACAGCGGTACTTATCCTTCAGTTAATCAACCTCACTATTTACTCCACATTCAGTGCTCTTCCTTTTAACTTGTAATTAATGCTTCCCCACCATATAAAATAAGGTATTATTATTTTCTTCTAATTACATTGTGAAGTGAAAGCTTCAGTAAACACTGGAAATTTTCATGGACGAGAAAACATCTGAAATAATATTTTTGATTGAAAGAAACATTTCAATATTCATTAACCAAAATGTCAGTCTTCTTTTTGTTGAGCCAAATGTAAATGCTTTGGTTTGGTTTCACTGGACATACCTCTGCATCTTAGACAATGTTGTTTTTTGATAACCATGGTTCAAGATTATTCCATCCTTAGTCTTCAACTTGCTTACAAGAAATGCCAATTATTTATAGAAGAGATATTTAACAAGGGTTCCCAGAGGGTCAGCGTTGTGGGCACATGGTGAAGAACTGACCCAAACAGAAGCATTTCAACATGATTTGAGAATGTAAAATATGTCAACTTCTCAACTAAAATTAAATAATCTATCTAGCTTTTTCAACAGAACATGCACACAAAAATCATGACAACTGAAACTTCCATGGAGGTTTGTTTTGTTTTTTTTTTTAACAAACCCCCTCCACTGATTTTGTGTTAAAAAACTGGGACAAAAATAATCCTAGGGAGATTTATTACTGTATGAAAATTCCATTACCTAAAACAACTCTTATTTGTCTTCAACTATTCATCCAGAACTATGCCAGTTATGTAAATAATTACTTACAATGCTTGTAACACTCACTAAATGGTACATATTTCTTGATGATATGAGCAGTGAGTTATTTGTCTTGATATTTGTAATATCCTAAGAGAAGTACTATGACATAGTCATTCAAATCTGTTACTGAAAATTACATAAACGAAACTTAGTTTGCACTTCAAAAAAAATTTATGCAAAGGTCTGAAAACACATTCCACTGTATCTAGTGACACAGAAAAATTCCAGTTTCTTATAAACAAAAGATAGGTACCAATGCCATGTATTACACAGTACCAAGTTAGAAGAGTAATGGTACTTTAAAATGATGATCTGTGAGAAAGCCATGAATTTTCCTCATAATAAAGCTACATTTTACAAACAATTCTGACATTGTGGACCAGAACTGTAATAATATTTAGATACCTAAAAATGCAAATAGGCACCATAAGGAATTTTCATGTTCACTTCAGACACTTAGCTCCCCCAAATACAAACACAGATGATTGATTGGCCTTGTCATAATCCATCTGTTAAGAATTTAGAGGTGATGGGAAAAATAAGCTCTTTGCTTATATTATTAAAGAATGTTTACCATTTTGTAACAAGTAAAGCAATACAATCAATAGCAGTTAGGACCATTGCTGCTTTTGGTGATCCTACCAAATGCCAAATATATTGTCACTTGCTCAAACACAAAAAGGAAGCCTGCAGAGGGTGGAAGCAAGGACGGGTAGCCTGGGATGAACACAGAGAAATTGTCCAAGCAGCCAGGGATCAGGTTAGGAAAGCTACAGCCCTGAGAGAATTAAATCTGACCAGGGACATCAAGGGCAACAAGAAAAGCTTCTATAGGTACATCGGTGATAAAAGGAAGACTAGGGAAAATATGGGCCCTCTCCGGAAGGAAACAGCAGACCTGGTTACCCAGGACATGGAGAAGGCTGAGGTAGTCAACGACTTTTTTGCCTCAGTCTTCACCGGCAAGTGCTCCAGCCTCACCACCCCAGACGCAGAAGGCAAAGCGAGGGACTGGGAGAATGAAGAACTGCCCACTGTAGGAGAAAATCAGGTCTGAGACCATTTAAGGAACCTGAAGGTGCACAAGTCCATGGGACCTGATGAGATGCATCCACAGGTCCTAAGGGAACTGGTGGATGAAGTGGCTAAGCCACTACCCATCATATTTGAGAAGCTGTGGCAGTCCAGGGAAGTTCTGACTGGAAAAGGGGAAACATAACCCCCATTTTTAAAAAGGGAAAAAAGGAAGAACCAGGGAACTGCAGGCCAGTCAGTCTCACCCCTGTGCCCGGCAAGATCATGGAGTGGAACTTCCTGGAAACTATGCTAAGGCCCACGGAAAATAAGGAGGTTATTGATGACAGCCAACATGGCTTCACTAAGGGCAAATCGTGCCCAACAAATTTGGTGGCCTTTTATGACAGGGTCACAGTGTTGGTGGATAAGAGAAGAGCAATGGATGTCATCTACCTGGACTTGTGCAAAGCCTTTGACACTGTCCCACACGATATCCTCGTCTCTAAATTGAAGAGACACGGATTTGACGGATGGACCACTTGGTGGATAAGGAATTGGCTGGATGGTTGCACTCAAAGAGTTGTGGTCAATGGCTTGATGTCCAAGTGGAGACCAGTGACGAGGGGCATTCCTCAGGGGTCAGTACTGGGACCAGCACTGTTTAACATCTTTGTTGATGACATGGACAGTGAGACTGAGTGCACCCTCAGCAAGTTTGCCGACAACACCAAGCTGTGTGGTGCGGTTAACACGCTGGAGGGAAGGGATGCCATCTAGAGGGACCTGGACAGGCTTGAGAGGTGGGCCCGTGTGAACCTCATGAAGTTCAACAAGGCCAAGTGCAAGGTCCTGCACATGGGTCTGGGCAATCCCAAGCACAAATACAGGCTGGGCGATGAGTGGATTGAGAGCAGCCCTGCAGAGAAGGACTTGGGGGTGTTGACTGACAAGAAGCTCAGCATGAGCTGGCAATGTGTGTTTGTAGCCCAGAAAGCCAACCGTATCCTGGCCTGCATCAAAAGAAGCATGACCAGCAGGTCGATGGAGGGGATTCTCCCCCTCTACTCCACTCTCATGAGACCCCACCTGGAGTACTGCATTCTGCCCTGGGGCCCCCAGTATAAGAAGGACATGGACCTGTTGGAGTGAGTCCAGAGGATGATCAGAGGGCTGGAGCACCTCTCCTATGAAGACAGGCTGAGAGAGTTGGGGTTGTTCAGCCTGGAGAAGGCTCTGGGGAGAGCTTAGAGCAGCCCACCAGTACCTAAAGGGGGTCTACAAGAAAGCCAGAGGGACTTTTTACAAGGGCATGTAGTGACAGGACAAGGGGTGTCAGTTTTAAACAGAAAGAGGGTAGATTTAGATCAGATGTAAGGAAGAAGTTCTTCCCTGTGAGGGTGGTGAGGCACTGCAACAGGTTGCCCAGAGCGGTTGTGGTTGCCCCATCCCCGGCAGTGTTCAAGGCCAGGTTGGATGGGGCTTTGAGCAACCTGGTCTAGTGGAAGGTGTCCCTGCCCATGGCAGGGGGGTTGGAACTAGATGATCTTCAAGGTCTCTTCCAAACCAAACCATTCTATGATTCTGTGAAATACCTTTATTAATCTGGACCTCTCTGCTGTAACTAGCTCAGAAAAATAAGAATAAATGACATATGCTATAAAATTATCACATTACTTGTGTTAGAGTGCAGAAGTGGAGTTAAGCCAATAGCCTGTAGTGTTACCATAAGCAAAAGAAATGAAGAAATGACAACAAAACCAAAAAAACAATCTGTAAACACTTGTAGGAATCTCAGTAGGTGAGCAACTGAATGCGTATCACAAATTTGGACTAAGTTGCTATTTATTTTCAAGACAATACAGAGATGTTAGAAATAAAAGCTTACATAAATCAAACCCATGCTGCTTTCAAGCACAAGCTGCTCTCTTAGTGTCAGTTGTTATTCCAAGTTGTCAGGGAACAGTTTTTTCACTTGCAGATAACTCTAAGACATTTTTTAAAAAGTGGAATTTGACAAAATGAAGAAAATGTTTATATTCTGACCCACTCTGATATTCACAGTACCACAGAAATACATTTAATCTGTATAAAAGCACAAAAACCTGCAACTGTGCTTGGGCAAGCCTCAATGAGTTTTTAAAAGAGGTTATAATGACTACTGCTTAGTTAGAGCTCAGCGTATTTATTACACCAATAAACTGAGACTAGATTTGTCATACCGTACTTACACCATCTAAAAATTAGCTGCCTAATCCATTTTATACTAGCCTTTCTTTATCATTATCATTGACGAGAGAGACTGGGGCATCACAAGCAAGTTATTCATTCCTACCTAAGACAGATACCTAAAGTATGTGAAATAAATAACCCTCTAAATGAGTCTTGCTTTCAGCTGTCAAGAGAGGGAGCATAGGCAACTACCTTTGACATGATGCCTAATGTTTAGATGGAGTCATTTATATCAGATAAAGTGGACTGATCACTGCCACTTTAACAGCGCCTATATATATATATACACACACACAAGTGTATGTGTATACAACAAAAAAAGACAAGATTAGGTGAGTAAATCTGCATAACTTCCCTATATTTATCAGAGTAAACATCAAGACAGATTAAAAAGGCCAGAGAGTTAAGTACATCATGGTTGTTTCCTCACTTTGCACAGCTTGTTTGCTTTGCAGTTTATGAAACAGGGATACAAAGACACTCACAGATTGATAGATCTTGATAAGATGACAGACACAGTCAGAAGGATGCACCCACAGGGACCAATTTCAAACTGAAAAAGAAAAGGACTATTTTTATTTTGTTTGTTGTGTACATTTTTTGTCCAATCCTAAAGACACACAAATTGAACTGAAAAGCTGAAAGAATTGTTCTCATTTATACTAAAACTGAATTTGTTGCTCTGTTTGTTAAAATGCAAGACATGTCCATATAGTGTTTGAAACAATGTTCGGAAGACATCATAGGGGACTGATAAACACTGAAACCTGAACTATAACAGGTTTTGTATCTTCTCTATACACAGTACCTGATGAATATTTTGCTGAAGAAATACAATCAGATCTTCATATCTTGTGGCACTATGTAGTATTAGCTGGGAAGAAATGTAAGAAGAAAAAAAAAGTAACTGAATCAATAACAATTCATTTTTATAATCCGAAAGCTGGAGTAAAGTAGCCGAAACTTTAAATCTAACTGGAAAAATTTGAATAAACAAAATGGAATAAAGATCTAAAGAAATCTACCACTTACTGTTGCTAAATGGTATAATACTGTATCTCCACACTTCGTATATTCTGAATTTTTAAATACTGCTTCCTGTTGTTTTTAAATTCATTGAACAGTTTGATTAAACTTTAAGCATTGTTTTTTCAATGAAAAACAATTCCTAGAAGAAACATAGGAATACTGCAGCTTTAGAAGACATAGAATGGGCAAGTAGCTTAGGAGTTTATACCTATGAGGTGACCCATCTATAGCAGGCATATATCAGAGCACTTCTTATCATAATCAGAGAATACGCCCATGAATACTCCTATTTAACATGAAGTTCAGGAGAGTTCACAGACCCAGGCCCTTATTTCAACATTCTTTGTCTATTTTTCCATCTTCAGATTTTGACAGAAATGATGGTCTTGCGGATACTGTGTGAGGAAAGATGAAGCAGTCTGGATTATATTCCTTTCCATCACATTTTCACTGTGGCTATATCCACATGACCTTTGATAAGCAGTACTTAGAGGCAGCATAATGGTGCTAGTTGCACTCCGAAATAGCCAGCAGCTGAGAATTCTGTTAACGTATTAATTATCTTGTCTCTTGGAAAAGCATATTATAGGCAAGGTTTTCTGCTGCATTCACCCTATTATACAGGTTTTCACCTTCAGTTGTTCCAAAACTGTCTGGTTCTGAAAAGTTGTTGGCACATCCATTCCTCCATTTAGGAGGCCAGTAATATTTCCTTAAACCACTAAAGCCTGGCTTATGGCATCACTGTTTGCAAAGCCATCTGAGAGCTTCAGATGGAAATAAAGGCATAACTGGAAAGTATTTTGCCATTTAGATCTTCTGGAGGGAAAAAAAAGGCAAAGAATTCTGTGTAAGACAAGAAGAAAATACTGCCTTTTGATGCTCACGGCCATGCTGGTCAACTTGAAAGGATCCATGTTCACTTTTACTACATATCAATAAAAGTAGGCACAGTTTATAAGCTTGAAAAGTAGACGGAAAAAAAAGGACTTCAGAGAGCCCAATTGCCCACAGACACTGGGAGGACTCAGAGCCAGCCAGCCAGACTACAGGATTTTGTTACTTCCTATTGGTTTTTGGATCACAACTAACTAATTTGACATAAAAGATTTTAAAACACTAAGAGAGCAATGGAAATCAGATTCATTGTACTAAAATAAGAAAAGCTAGAAAGAGGATATATGGAGAGTGTTACTGTGAGTTACGCAGAGCCTTACAGTTTCTAAGATTCCATCTGCCTTGTATTTTCCTATGGGAGTGAACTGCTGTCTTCCTGATGGCCTGAAGAGAATATTCAGACAAAACCAAAGCTCATGTTAGAAGGAACAAAATGGCATTAAAGAGAAATCAAGATGTTATATTAACTGAATGATGAGCCAAAGATTTTGTATTATTATTTTTAACCACTTTTTAAAAAAGGGACCTCTTGCATAATAAGTTCATATTACATATTAAACAAATTTTTATCAATGAAACATATACTTTAGCTATGCTGTGCTCTCAGTATACTTAATATCAATTACAAGTTTCTCTATACAGAAAGAGGATAAATATAGGTTTAAGATGTTAATGACAGTTTTTATTGGAAAAGAATATTAAAGCAATGACATTAAAACAAGAAGAACATATGTACAATATCATCACATAGGAAGGATTTATAGATGTAAAATATGCAAAATATCATTTGAAATGTCTTTGAATTTTCTGCTTCTATTTCAGGTTTGAAGAAGGACTTCTGTGCCCAAAAGTTTCTCTGTTATTTTTCAGCTATCTTAGTTGATCTAATAAAAGAAATGACCTATTCTCACAAAACCTGGCTCACTTGAAAATATCATGTCACATCCAGTACAGCCAAAGCAAATCTAAAAGTTAGATGTCTTGTGTACAAGCAGCTTAATTGCATAGCATAAACTAAGTAACTAGTAGGAAGCTACAGCAAAAGGAAATTAATCCCAGCCATAATAGAATATCCTGCAATACAAAATTGTTGGAGTAAAATGCTGTCTCTGGAAAAATAACTCTTGATAATGGTTTTGGAGGAATCCTAGCCTCAATGAAATCCACAGGATCTTTCACAGCAATTTCAAAGAATTTGACTATTTTGTCCAAGCTACTGAGACAGCAGAAATGACATTTTGCATTTCTCCCTAAGCCATTTTAGACTGCATACATACATGTTATAAAACTTTCATTTTGTAAACTATGTACATATATAACAGACACAAGTATAAGAGCATTGTACAGTAACTAAAACCGCTTCTCCTACTTACAGTGCCACAATTGCTTTTTCATTGCCTCCTGCACGCCACAATATGTCTGCAATAGCCATGGTGAGGCATTTGGTCCTGTGTACTTCTGAGGGCTGAAGACAACTGCAGTCCAGGAAATGGAAGAAATAGACAAGTAACAAAATGTGTACTGGGAAGCTTACTCATTAGAGGGCAAACTGCCCCAATTACAGTATACATAGATTCATAGCAGGTTTGCAGCTAAAAGAACAAAAGCAATTTTCTGAGACTATTTAGGTGTTGCAATGCCTAATAATGAGGCTCCAGCAAGCTGCCTTAGAAAATAATCATTTAGGTATCTCAGTTCCTTCTGTAGTCAAGAAAAGAGACAAATTGGATGGCCAACTCAAAAAAATCCTGTGAGCTGAACAGGAAGCTAGTATTGTTACTGAGAAGACGTACCGGGTGTAAAGGTACAGTTGAATCTGACTTTTCTCTGAGGATTAAGCATCTGAATGAAATGCCATGAGACCACTCACTGTGCATGCAGTATGAAGCCTTCTCAGCACTAGACTGAACAGGTGATAGGAGGATGTGATGCTGTTGTTTAGCACCTAAAGAGCTCTAAGGAGGGAGATGCAACTGAAGTTACCACTGGAATATGGACTTTCTGGAACCATTCTTTGAAGTGAACCACCTTAAATCTCATTTTAGGCACTCAAGAAGGTACCTTGGATCTTACTGAAGGTAATCAGATCCAGTGAATAGAGCTGTATCTAGAACAACTTCCTCTTTAGATTGCTAGTAAAACAAACTGGGCACAGTGGGTAGGTCTTCTCTGAAGTCACAAGCAAAACAGAAATTTGAGGGAAGTTAATTCACCTAGGTCAAGTGTTAACAGCAGTGTGTTGCATTTGGGTGATCTGGATGAGCTTATGTTGCTCATAATGATGGTTAGACTGCTGTTATGGGTACTTAAGCTAAGCAATTGTAAGCTTGCTAGCCTATGTCTATATATTCTACAACGATACCCTTGTAATACAGGTGAACCTAAGAGATAAAATGCACAATCTCTATTTCTAGGAGATCAATACTAAAAATTGTGTCTGATTTATAAGGAATGGTTAAAACAAAACTGTTATTAAGACCAATGGACCAAAATCAAGAGAAGACTAAGGTATGATCAACAACAGGAACTGATTATGCACAGATCTATAGTCATACCCTGGAAACTAATCTTCTAAAAAAAATAGTGGATGCTCTTTCAGATTACATATTTGTAATTGGTTTGACAAAAAAACAGGTAAATGTACTTTAGGGAACAATACTGTATCGCCAAATAATGGACAAGAGAAGCTAATTCATCTTTAAATCTGTAATAAAATTGTTTTAATATTCTGTAACAGGATTGTTTTATATATTAAATATGGATTTTAGTTTATAAAGGCCTTCATACTTAATTTCTTTCTTAAGTTCTTATTTCTTAACTCTTGTCAACAACATAATGTTCTTACTTAGTACTAAACTTCATCTAAAGTACTATCTGCAATAAACAGTATGCTTGCATTTTTTTAATAAGGTATGCCCAAAGTGGTGACCTAAAACATTATGGTGACTGACCTAGTATTGGTCTGTGAAGCCCCACTGTTTCTGAAATATCTTCACTTAGATGCTTGGCTTGGAAGTTACACAATGATATGCAGATCTACAAGATGCTTACAGTAGTTTATTGATCTATATGTAAGCAACGCTGTCAACACATTTCCTACAAGCTGTGTTTTGTGAAGTCTTCTAATACCTCCTGTTATTCTAATTTCCAAGATGTGAATGGAGAAATAAAGGACCAGGAGGCCAAAAGCCACACAATGGAAAACTGGCAGATTTAAAAATAAAACCCAACATCCATGAGCCTGAAGAAGAGGACAACAGATCCATGCCCCTGGGAAGCACAGAACTGGAATTTTCTCTAGTGGCTTCAAGAATGGCAGTCTTTGAAATTCAGATATTATCAGTCTTAAGAGTGTTACCAGCATGGGAGATGATGTCAAAACCTGTTCCCAGCATTTCAGTAAAAAATCTAATAATTCAAAAGACTAAACAAGAAACACCAAACATCAAAAAATTAAACAGACTTTCAAGTTCAATGTCTGCCTTGAATATAATGTTCATTTAGAGAATGCTTCTCCCTCTGAAGGATGTGAGATATGGGAAATAATTGGTGAGAGTTTTCAAGTAAAAAAAATATAATCACAACTTTCTCTTATCTCTGCCTGTGTTCTAATACAGACACTCAGAAATTTATGGGAAGCATAGCAACTAATTTACGTGTCTGAAAGAGGTAGCAGAGTAAGAAGGAGACATGATAATTATTTCTTGAATGTCGAAGAAGCCTGAAGTTAAACACTTACTGTGAAGTGGTTAGTAATTTGAAAATTCAGGTTAGAATTAGAAAGGAATATTAATCCTCTCATTTCAAGCTCTAAGACTTCCCTCTCTTTCTGCCTAAGAGTTTCTGCCTGTGGCAAACACATCATAAGAAAAATATGTTTATCTCATGAATAAAACAGTCCATCTTGCTATTCATTTTAAGGAGCCTGGAGGCTTTTAGCATTTCTGTGCATAAAGACAAAGAGCTCACCTGCTAACCTGAAATCCTACAGAGAATTTCTGCATATTTCAGCATCATTTTTCATATACAAAATATGTAAAAACAATTTTAAAACCATGCGGATAATAGGAGGGGAAAAATAGGAGAGGCAAATGTTGCCAAGTAAACAGGATAGTTTGTAGCTGGCATGAGTGGGGACACTTATAGTTTAAACAATCTGGCCTTAATCCACTTATTTGGGTGCCACATAATTTTATGATATTTACTATCACTGAACCACATTGAAAGAGGAAAAGGTTAACATCTCTATTTTTACTAAGGATGACCTGAGACTCAAAGGGACCAATGAGCAGATGATCAAAGGCTGTCCTCCAAGCTGAAACAAATTCTTGGCTTTCACAACCAGAAATAATTCTTTGGTGAATTCTGTGGAGGTTCCTGGTCATAAAACCTAAATATGTACTGATTTTCTTGCATGCAAGTTTCTGAGTTTTCTCTTTTATGTGGACAAGAGCTTCATTGTGCCTTGAAAAGTCTACTTCCATTATAAGCTAAATTAGAATAATAAAGTTTTGCTAGCTAATTTTTGCACTTTTAAAAAGTGTGCTCTGAACAGCAGGTTCTTGATAGGAATTACAGACAGATGTGATGTACTGAAAGAACTGAACAGAAGAAGAAAAAAACTAAACCGCATAACATTGCAGAATTAACTTGACATTACACTCTGCACATGTATTATACCACTGACCCTATCTCTTTATCAGTCCATCCTAACTGCCTTTAAGTGACTTCAAGGAACAGGCAATTTTCAAGTGATGAATTCATAGCATCTTGTTTATTTGGCCCTTGTCTTGGGGTCTGCTGGCAATCAGTGCCAATAACGACTAGCAACAGCAATAGTAGTAGTACCTGTAAAACTTTCAGTATTGTATTTAGACTCTAAGCCTGTTTTTCAACATTTCTACTGGCTTACTAGGTGTCTTGTATCAGGACTGCCTACACACTAGTACTGGACCTGGGCACCAGTGTGGACCCCCTAGGGCCTGGTAATCCTTTGATTCTCATCTCCCACCCTGGGTGCTGAAGGCAAATAATGATGTTCTACAGGTGCCTGTTTCATTCCATTATTGATGAAAACAGCCCAAACAATGAATTTACATTAAGTGCCACTCAGACAAAACTAATAAAAATCAACAGAGACCCTGTCACTTTCCTAAAGAGCTCCAAGCAGAAAAGTGTATATTTATGGCCAAATTTTTATACATGATGAACATTTTTACATTGTAAGGTAATGAAGTTCAAGAAAATTCTCAGCATGAAAGATTTTCTTCTGACTAAATTGGGGTCAGTGTATCACCCACAAATAACACAAGGTGGTGGCAGCGTAAACCAGTAAAATACTGTTGCACCTATTCAACAAACTGCATCTATAAAGCACAGGAAAGCTTTGTGAAATTTTTCTTTTGTAATGGACTTAATTTGTTATTGAAAACAAAAGGTGAATACAAGAAGTCTGGTAATACAGTAATTTTTTTAGACATTATTTTCCAGCATTTCATTGAATAAGCTCTGTTCCTTCAGCAAAGTGACAAGTATGTTAATATTATAGAAGTGCAAGCAATTTTCCTTGACACTAGCAATACTTAACAATATTCCTTTAAAGTAAGTAGAAAATACACACAGAGAATTTAAATTCAAATTCTATTAAGGAGTTTAACTGTGAAAGATCAAACACAGTAGCAAGAAAAAAAAATTATAGCTGTAACTTTAATTTTTCACCCTCCCTGAGATTCATAGTGTCAAAAGCTGCATGAATTTCATGGTCTTTCAAGCCTTGATTACATTTTCTTTGAAATCATATCTCCATGGGATCTCAAGGTTAAATAATTTTCATTGGCCTCAATTCAAGCTGTTGGATTTTTTTTAGAGGTTCTTGGGTTAATGACAAGCAAGTAATTTACAAATAAAACACCAACCTCTAAATTCCTACAGTTGAAAGGGAAGTAAATACAAGTAAATCATACGCTACTTTGTTTCTCTCTCAGAGACAAAGAGAAGTTCAATAAGTTCAAACTCAAAAGGCTCCTCAGTGGCTGCAGCAGAGAAAAAAAAATTAATTCTGTATGGAAAATATTTCTGATGTCAACTGCTGACTTACCGAGTGTCTTTATTCCTGTTACTGTCTGCAAAGATAAGCTGTTGTAGGACACAGGCTTGAACTGCAGCCAGTACTCCACATGGGCCACCCTAAGGGGAATAACGGGACACTCCATGAGCAAAACAATTTGCATTGTTTGATGCTGGTGAAAACTTTTGCAAGCCATGCGCTTCCATTCAGGCTTAAGCCGTTCTTTCATCTCTCTCTTTCCATCCATGACTTTGTAGTACTCTCTGTCACTCCATTTTTTTGCAAGCCAGTGAAAATCAGTGTTACTAACTGGTATTGTTTCCCACCTCTTTTTCCTGAAAATTCCTAGACATCTATAATGTCAAAGGAAAGGTTTTTTAAAATCTGTTCTGTGATTATGCAAACAAATGAAAGATCTCCTGATCCCTATTGAGCCACAGTGTACCTTGACTTCCAGAGAGAAATCAAATCTGACTGTTTTCCAAATGGTGAAAATAAGCCTTGGTCTTTTACCTCCTCTGAGCACTATGCCCCCCCTCAAGTTCCCACTTACATCACTAAACAAAAATTTCAGTTTTATGTATAGTCCTCTGCACCAGGCAGCTATCTAACTGGGGAAGAAAGAAAATGAATGAAGTTTGAACCTTTCAAATTATTCATTTTGAAAAAAAATCACAATACCAATAAATATCATATTAACTTTAAACTTTATGGAAAATAGATAAATAGCTGTTCTGAAAGACTGTGGGATGGAGTAGCAATTCCACAGCTTATTCCTTGCTTATTCCCTGCCATCTAGCCCACCTGACTCTATTGCACAACCAAGACCTTTTCCTATGGGTTAACTATATGGCAGAGACAGCTGTACAAGTTGTCCTGAGAAGCAAATGGTATGCCCTCTTCTTGTCTAGAAAACTTCATCCAGCATAACTCCCCTTGTCACTCAATTCTCTCCCAGGTGCCTCATATCATATTATTTACTCAAGTAATCTGCTGAGGAGACAGAGAAAAGCCATCGTTTGTCTGGAACATCTAAGCATGAACGGAGCAGGCTATGCAGGACACAAGACTAACATCACAGATACCACAATACCACACATCAAATTGGTAGTACTGCAAATTACTGCAACTTAACAGAAGATTCAGCATATTAAATCCCACAGATGCTGTCCCACGTGTCTGTCAGCACATGCTGCCATTCTCAGAAATGGGTTCACTCTTAACATTAGGAAGTCCATTACTTTAACACAGGTCCTCCCTAAACCAGCATCCCATATAGGCTGACATATCAGTGCCAGCTTTGTCTACCAAGGTCACGTAAGAAAAACTATGAGAGTAAGAAAGTATGGACCACCCAGCAGGTTTTCTGGAGAGTCTGTGTTCTGATTTTAACCCATGCCAAAGTCTATGCTGTTGTTACTCTCCAAAGCATGAGATTAACCCAGGATCACACTGCTGTCATATGCTACAGTTGCGCTCCTGATTTCCACAGTAGATCACAACCAGGTTGTGATGAATCAGTTTAGGATCTGTCAAACTCCTCTCAAAACCATGGAGCAGAATGAGAAGTGCAGCCAGCACTGCTATTTTCAAATAGCAATGTGACCAAAGTGATCAGTCTAATTCTCAGGTTGTCCTAAGTATGGCATCAAGCCTAAGGGAATGGGACTTCCAGGTACATGCAGTATGCACAGTATGCAACCTAGAAAATAAAGGTCCTGTAATCAGAAAATAGCTTAGATATTGATACCTTCCATTTCCTCATTTACATTACACACACACTACCTCTCTATAGTGACTTACATAACTAATGAGTGAATCATCTGAAATATATAAAGGAAAAAAGCAAGGTTTATTTCAGTCCACCAGGGAAAGCCTCCCAGTCAAAAAAATTACGGGAACCATTCTAAATATCTTCTTATTGCACCACAGAAACTTAACGTAAGAGAGAATCAAACATTTGTTCAGCTGAAATGAATTTTGGAAGTGAGGAGGTATATATTACCTATCTGAAATAAACACATCTAAGCAAAACACTCTGGTTTACCATTCCTGTTGTGGAATTTACAGTAGGAATTTAATGGCCAGTGAGTCACTAGAAGTGATGAGATATCCTTTCTCTAGCAGCAGGGTCTGGAAACACCAAAGTAACATTTACTGTGGACCAGTGAACATTACTACCATGGTTCCTTTTGGAGTTTAAATTAACATTTAATATCTTTTTTCTGCTAGGTTTTCTTCAAACATAAGCAGCTTTTCTCTGAGATCATCAGCCTAATGAAATATTTAACTAGACAAGGTAAGTTAATTAAACATCTTAATGACACATTTATTAGCCATCGTCCTTGCCCCAAAGCCTCTCTTCCTCTCATTTCTGTATAGTACATAATGGTCTACTTCTCTCAGGCCAGATAAAGATTTTCTGCATCAGTGCAGAAGCTTGATGAGTGTTTTGTAAAGAGGAGTCTACTCCTTCCCTAGTCTTTACTGAAGTCCTCAGATCCTTGCTCTTTAAGAGAAGAGACCTGGTGCATGGATGTCCCAGAAGCATATATCACAGGGCAGAGACAAAAGCATTAAGCTGTAGGGGAGGAGGATGCATTTTTACAATGGATCTGTTTGATTCTGGAGGCAGCTACACATCCTCACCCTGCGTGTGGTCCCTGGTCTGAGTCTACACATTGGCCAGATGAGAAACCAGGCTGACCAACTGCATCTGGCATATGGAGCAGAAGGACAGTCTGAAGCACTGCAGTCTGAGTCTGTAAGAGTCAGGTGCCCAGGCAAGGTTGAGAAGATAGACACCAGATGAGTGAGTTTCCCACTGAATGCCCTAGACCAGAGAGATCTTTGTTAGCACCAAAAATTTCTATGGATTGGGTATGTGCTTTCCAGGCTGACCCTAGTCATAGCACGGTGGTTTTACCAACTCGGGTCACCACAGGGACCTCCTGGGGATTTTAGAAAGGGCCACTTGGTAGATGATGCCGAGGAATTGATAAAAACCTTGTTTTAGGGAGGAGCTGGCATCTTGTGGCTGCAGTCCAGAATTACAGAAACATGGCTGCAAAAGAGGTGGTCCCACCAGCCATCCCAGAGTCCCAGCCTCAGTGACACTGCAGGGGCATTTGTTCCCTTTTGTTTTAGGAATGAGCCTCATCATGTGACCCCCATATCTTTAAGAGGCAAAAATCTCCTTGTGATTTCCCAGGCACTGCAGGCAATTTTTGCTATGTCATCCCATTTTGAGACAGATAAAGCTCTATCTTAAACTTGTTAAACTCTGCCCCCCCAATTCCTTTATCTCTTAAAGTCCACCCTTAATTTATGCTCTTTTATTCTTTTACCACCACTAGCTTTCAGCTGAAGTGGCTTGTCTTCCTCCCTACGAAAAACTCCCCATCACACATACATATGTGCACACTTTCTGTAGCTACTTTAAGTTTCCCTCAGAAATATTCTATCCATCTCAAGTCTCCTAAGAAGACCTGACAAGGTCACATCATCCACTGGTAACTAGAGAAGTTAAAGAAAGAGAAAAGTCTTTAGAAGACTTTTTTTTTTTTTACTGCTGAAACACACAGCCTTTGTAAACTGAGTGTAAAAAGCAAAGATCACTTTAAAGAAGTCACTTACAGTACCTTTTTTTGCACAATGCCGTATTTTAACTGTGGTATGTTATTAAAAGTAAAACTCTGTATTTTCCATTCTTCACTGAAGCAACAAAGACTAGAGCCAAACAAAAGATTTTTTAATTCCTATAAAAAAAAGGAAAGAAAAAAGTTCTCATTTTAAAAACAAATCAAAACATAGATACATTTTCTTGCAGTAATTTGTAGAAAAGAAAGGAGGAGTGTGGAAGGGTAATGACTAACTCACTACAACCACCCTTTTCTGTTTTATACATACCGTAAATAGCAACACTCAAATGAAAAGGAGCAATTTTTTCCTTTTCCTGCAATATTCCTTCAACTCACAATGCTGTGTGCTGCTCAGCATAGGAAACTGTTTATGCAGATTGTCTGGGGCACAGTTTCCCATGAAACCGTTACAGAATATTGACTTAAATTTAACAACTAGAAAAGCAACACCTACTAATGGTTACATTAGGGAGAAAAGGACCCTGCTGAACACAGTATGGAGAAAAGGCAGCCGGTTTTGCCTGTCAGAATTGCTGGTATGAGATAAATGTTACTCAAATGTTTAACTGCTGTATGTCGGATGGCATATCAGCATGTGCCAAATTCAGATCTTGGCCCTGAACAACTGCAGACCACTGCTATTCAGGAATAGCTACACTGAAGAAATTGCATTCATGCTAAAGTAAAGCTGAGTAAATAAGAACAGACTACTCAGTGTTTGTATAGTTACTTGGACCTCTTTGATCTAGAAATGAAATTGGAAGACACCCTCATTATCTCTTCTCTGTTTTTTCTTTCCCTCTCTCTGAATGGAAAAGAAAATATTAAAAGTATTTAATGCTTCCATTTCTGGTCAGAATGAGGAAGGTAAGCACAGGATAAACAGTGATAGGGGAATAATAAACTTGTTTTAAACCACTGTCAATTTAAAGGACTGGAGAATAAGCACGTGAATAACTGACTGGAGGCATTAATAAAATAATACAAGCTTCATTAATTAAAACTATTATCTGTGCTTCAAGTGGGCTGATGCATTCTGGCATGCTCTTCTGATATTTTTCTGAATTTTGGCCAGGCATCCCTACATTGCTTTTTCACCTGAATACCAAGTAAGGAATATACTCAGGAATGAAACAGCACGTTAAGTCACACAGAAACATGCAACACATAGCAACCTACTGCAGCTTTGGCTAACTTAACCGAAAAAAACATTCTCACACATCTATTTATATTTACCATCATAGTTAGTCTTACTTTTGCAAGAGAAACATCAATTGCCTTTGATACTATGTGAAGCATATACAGTGTTGAAAGATCTGGGTTCTTACTAACTTCTCCAGTTGTTTCTTCATCCTCAACATCAACTAAAAGAAAAAAAAATAATCATATAATGTGTTGCATGAAAAAATTGCTTTCCCCAGCAGGCTCAGTGCCAGGGGGCCACCAATATGACAATTAACACTTTCTTGTCATCCATCTTTATAAGAAAAGAAAATATAGTTTTAGTCAGAAAGGACAGATAAAAAATACATGAACCAGCCTTTGTTTGATTACTTCTTAATGACTTCTTCACACAGTCTTACCCAAGAAATAATAGCACATGCAATTACTCTGACTCAACTAAGGGTTACAAAAGAAGCAACTCATATATATTTGGTTACAGCTGCTCTGAAGATACGATGGCAAAAGCCAAACTGAAGCTTGATGTCACTTACCTAATTCTAGGACATCTTTCATCTGATCTTCTTTACAGTAAGTGGATGTTGGAGACTTCCTACATTAAAATTAAGCAAAAAGCAAATGACCAAATGTTCACTTACAATGAGAAAAGTTGTTTGAATAAACAAGAAGAAATATGGAATATGCCCACACAAAGATATATTTTTTTATGTGTGTGTAAATATATGTGTATATATATCTATATATGGGGGGGGGCATGTGTGTGCATGTGGAGAGAGAGAGATAATAAAAGATGCAGAAGATGATGGATAAAAACATATTCAATGGCTTTCACCTTTAGTTTTTAAAACGTTCTATACAAAGGAGCTCAGTCTCATATTTTTGTATGAAGAAATAAATGGTGTTAGAGCAAAAACTTTTTCAGTGGAAGAAAGCAAAACTTCAGGAGTTCATCAGGAAAAGCCAACAGCACAGAGCAATATACTGCAATTGATTCAGGATTTCAGTTCTCTTTCAACATCAGTTTCATTTCATTTGTGTGAATTCGGTATGTCTCAGGTCCTGCAAGATCATATATAGGGGCAAATTTTATACTGTCCTGAATTTCAAGTGAGGATATTTAAGTATATGTGACTGCCTCTGAGTTCAAAGGATCAGGATATAACATAAAATTTACATCCCTGATGGGGACCAGGATGAGATTCAAATTAGTCATTAAACTACATGAAATATCCAAATAATATAAGTGGGAATAGGTGGTAGACTGGCTTCCTTTACCAGGGTAATTTTGTAATCCACTAAGAGGTAGCAGTTGTTCAACTGCGCTTGTGATTTAATTGTATATTACATAAATAACAGGTTAAAAATTCATATAAACAACTACTAAAAGGACTAAGCATTTAAACTTGGCTATGAAGTCAGAACTTAAATAGAATGTCAGATCTTCAGACATGAGATGGGTTTATTCTTTCTGTTGAATTCATACCAAAATGAATTTAGAACCAAGGAAAAGTTTCAAATAACTACTGTAAAAAGATGATGGGGTTTGGTTTTTTTTCCAAAAGAGCAATACTGCATCATTGGCCTTTGCTTTGGAAAAAAGGTATTGCACTGACAGTCCTTTCAAAAATAGTATGGAATAATTTCCTCAGCAACATTCTTTGTATGCACGATATTATTATAGCAACAACTGCTGTCATATCACATACTTTCCATTAACTTAATTTCCTTTTTCAGTGTGTGAAAGATGAATAAAAACAGAACACAGACATATCATATTCAGGGCTTTTCCAGTTCAAAAGCATTTTGGCACCTTTCACACCGATAATCTTTGATACTATAAGAAAAGAAACACCTCTATTTCTCTATGAACAAGTTAAAGGGTTTATGCAATGACATGTGGATGGCTACAATTCCGAAAAGATAGAATGGAAATGAATCACCCATGTTATTAGGGACTTGAGGTAAAAATAAATAGGATGCGGGTCAATATAAATAAGAGGACTGAGAGCAAATTTGTATAGTGGCATAAGTAGTACTGAGCTCTCACTGAACATAACAGTACTTTTAATGTGATATAGAGCTTAATATAGTTGACTGTGGTATATTTTAAAATACAATCAGATCTCACCTTGCTTTTTGCTAATACTGAATTTCAGCTGATATTCCTTTCTGCTAGCTACTTGCTAGTATTTCATCCCTCCCGGTGAGGGAAAGGGTCTCAATGACACTAAATTTGCCAATAAAATGTTTTTCTGCCAAGCACTCATGTCACTTAACTGTACTTTGACATAACCACAAGCCACATTTTTGTTTTGTCTGAGACTGCACACTATTGTCTCTTATTTCCTAGAGAATAATGTGTTTCTTCCTAGGTCAACCCATTTTGATTTAGTATTGCAAAAACAGAGCTCTTAACACTTTAAGAATGCAGCACTACGGGTTACAGCATCCTATTCGGCCTCATTTGCTGCTTCAGAAGGGCTTGGGTCTCTTATAGGTACTGTATCATATCTCGTAGCTTCATTAGATGTCCTGGATACCTTAGAGTCTCAAATAGCACTATATGCCTATGTTCAGGCACGTAGAACACTGCCTACATCAAATTAGCAACCCAAACACTTCTCAGTAGTGTTTCATCTCAAAAGATCTATAAATGAAAATAAAGTCGACTATGGTACAATTCATATATAGCTCACCGGGTACCAGTTTTTGTAACATTATTGCTTCTGGAAAGTCTAAAAAATTTTGGTTCTACACCCATTCCAGGAAGAACCAATGCTGGGATGCAAAGTGCTTTGAATTGTCAAAGCTGAGAATTCCCATCAAGCTGAGGAAAATGCTGACATGAAAGATTGATGGAGGGTGTTTTCTGGTTAAGAGGGTATTTTTGCAGGTGTAGGTTCCCTCCTTAAGGGGAGCTTGTGTTTCTCAAAACACTCTCAGGACATTTATTGCAATTTCCATTTCAGCAGATGGTTACTGTTCCAGGAAAATTTATTGTACATGTAAAACCATACAGTTAGAATACTGAGGAAGGGGGAAGTCATCCGTCATGGCAGAAAAATGGGACAGGAAGAAAATAAGTTTCATTATAAACATACTATACAGTACTTTCTCTAAATATTTGAACATTCCTATCTGATCTTCATGCATTTCAGAAAACTGAATTTACTCAGAATAGCTGAACTCGCAGAGAAAGCACTTCTTGGCACAACAATGCATGTACATTCCACTATTTCCTATTTATACTACCATACACAAGAGGTCAAAATAAACAAAGGGGCTTAAAAAATAAACACTGATGATCGGTGGCTTTAAGATGACTGTGTTGGTAAAACTTATTTCACTGCCTGATTACACCAGCTTTTCCACTGGACATATACCTTTTCTGCATAATAATTTAGTGTCAGCAGGATGCCAAGAAGTCAATCCTCTGGTCTTTTGCTGTTATGCCATATACAGACATATGTGACATTCTTAGTATAGGGAGTAAGATCTGGAGAGTAGGTAAGAAAAAAATTAGGCTCTGTTGCTATTTGCAAAAAGGTAAACAAGGCCATTATATGCGATGCAGCTTGCCACTGCTTTGGGGCAAAAATATAAAACCAGAATTATTAAAAGCATTTGTAAAAATGCAAAGAAAACGGATCATAATCAATACTAGGCAATATATTTCTATGGGAAAAAGACCTTGTCAAGAAGATTTAATACAAATTCTGCCATGCTTGCAAGTCTGGTTGACAAAGGTAACTGATCTCATACACTTAATTTCTCCAAATTTCCTTTTTAGTTAAAACCTGCATCTGATTTGATTGGCACATGAGCAGTATGAAAAATTAATTCATGAACAGATGGCTCATTGACAGATATAAAAAAGCTAAATGAAAAAATTGCCATTGAAAGGGTCATTTCTAATAAGCTCACACACGAATCTGTGTTTGTCCTGCTGAATTTTATTAACTGTAGTGACAATTCAGGAGAAAGCTACATCTTTGCTGAGAAGGTTTGCATATGAAAAAAAGTATGATTATAATCACGGCTTGAGCTACAAGATGGTTTGAACTACATGATGAGTTGGGCTGACCTGAACAGAATGCTCTCATGGGCAATGAATGAATATTTATCTCCAGCTATAAAACCAGACTGACTATAATGTAAGTGTGGCTCCTTTATTCATACTGTACTCTATCAAAGATTTTTCAGTGCAACACTCCCACATTGGAATTTTCAAGGAGCACAGTACCACTCGTGAGAACTGACCATTACATTCAGCAACTCAAAACAGTTGCCAGCAAAATAAACAGGTATCAGTAAAATAAAACTCCATTCCATTGATTCCATTATATAAAGGTGCTTACAAGACACCAGCTAAGAGACTCTACGTAAAGCATTGAGAAGGGTTCCCAGACTTCAATGCTCAATCAGTTCATATCAGTGGAGGTGAATAGAATCCTCCATTCTGTTTGTCGTACATAAAGTACCCACTCTGACTGGTTTTGGCCTTCAACTGTTAGGACATTTATTTTTAAGGATGTAGAATTTTTGTGGCCTTACATTCCTGTCAGAAACCTCAGATTTTTAACAGTCCAAACCACTGTAACCTGATGAATTTTAGCAAAATAAATTATCTTCCTGAAAGCTAATATCAAATGTTAAATTGGAAGACGACAAAAGCTTACACTGAAGAGTGGGGCAGTTTTCTTATCTCATTTTCTTATAAAAAAAGGTGAATACAGATAACAGCCTATTGGTAAGCACATATACTGCAGAGAGAGATTTTACCTCCTGGTAAAGTAGTCTTAGGGAGATTAACACATAGGGGGACAAAAATTCCTTGTGCTACCTGCAAACAACTGATTGTTTTTAAGGAGTGGGTAATTTCTCATGCTGCTTCCTACTGTGCTCCCCCCAAGGCTCGTATATAGACACAGTGAAAGGAAATGGTGTGAAGCTCTATGAGCAAAATAGGATGTATACTGTCTGTTCTTGCTTTACATTTGAGAAGATCTAGACTCCCTCTGTATTTGCATGAACAAGGCGAATTCTCAAATGACTGAATGCATTTTAGGCAATGGGTTGGACCTTTCCAGTTTTACATCCTTTCCAAAAATAAAGAAATGATACAGAAGCCATTTGCCATTTCCAGTAATTGCAAAGTGCTTCTTCCTATGGAGTGCTGGAAAAATACTAAAAGGGCAAATGGCAGCACACACAGATGTTATGTCGAAGGCTCTGATGCCATAAATCCATTGGCACAAAACAAAAGTCACAAAAGTTACTTTTATTTTAGGTTCTTTTTTCCGGTCCAAGCATTATGTTATAAAAGGTGTTACGCAACTCAAGATACTTGAAGGTTTTCACTGCTGAGTGATTTGGCAACTACAGTATCTCTCTCTCTCTGTTTTTGTATATAGGCTAGTTAAATCCATATTCCCCAAAGATGACCCCGTTTTGTTTGACAGCCATTCTTCTGATTGCCAATTGCAAGAGACAAATAAAGACTTATTCCCCGACTGGCAGCTGCACACACTGCAGGAGGGTTTGGTTAGTCTCTCAGGGAAGGTGCCGACTGCACTATTCTTACTGTGCTTC